GTGCCACCATGCCCGGCTAATTTTTTCTATATATATTAGTTGGCCAATTAATTTCTTTCTATTTATAGTAGAGACGGGGTCTCACTCTTACTCAGACTGGTCTCAAACTCCTGACCTGGAGCAATCCTCCCGCCTCCCAAAGTGCTAGGATTACAGGTGTGAGCCACCGCCCCTGGCCTTAATGGGCACTTTAAGTGTCATTTCTTCTGATCCTCAACAACAGCCTTGTGTGATCAATCACTGGCTATCAGAATTGCGGGGGCAGAAAGGGGAGACAGATTAAAGCATAAAAATTGATTTAATCAAAGTTTTATGGCCAGAAGCAGTGGCGCATCCCTGTAATACCTGTACTTCAGGAGGCCGAGGCACGAGGATCACTTGAAGCTACAAGTTGAAGACCATCCTGGGCAGCAAAACTAGACCCCGTCTACAAAAAATTTAAAAATTAGCTAGGCGTGGCAGTCCATGCCTGTAGTTCCAACTACTTGGGAGGCTGAGGCAGGAGGATCACTTGAGGCCAGGAGTTTGAGGCTCTGGTGCACTATGATTACACCTGTGAAAGGTCACTGCACTCCAGCCTAGGCAACATTGTGACAGCCCCATCTCTTAAAAAAATTAAATAAAAAAAATAAAATTAAGAACTGGTCATATTCTATTTCTTAATCTGAGTAGTGGGTCATGGGTGTTTCTTTCAATATTCTTTAAACTATACTTGTCTACTGTATGGTATATATATATCTATATATATAAGCATACTTCTATACTGCATATGACATCAATATATTATGTTTCACAATTTAAAAAAAATAATTAAAAAACAAGAAGAAAGAATAAGATGGAGGCCGGGCACGGTGGCTCACGCCTGTAATCCTAGCACTCTGGGAGGCCGAGGCTGGCGGATTCCTCGAGGTCAGGAGTTCGAAACCAGCCTGAGCAAGAGCGAGACTCCCATCTCTACTATAAATAGAAAGAAATTAATTGGCCAACTAATATATATAGAAAAAATTAGCCGGGCATGGTGGCGCATGCCTGTAGTCCCAGCTACTCGGGAGGCTGAGGCAGGAGGATTGCTTGAGCCCAGGAGATTGAGGTTGCTGTGAGCTAGGCTGACGCCATGGCACTCACTAGCCTGGGCAACAAAGCGAGACTCTGTCTCCAAAAAAATAAAAAATAAAAGGAGGAGAAGATGGAAAGCATTTCAAGCTGCGAAGCACATGACAGCTTTGGTAACAACTTTATCCGGCCCCATGCTGCCCCACTGAACGTTCTCCAGCTGCTCTTGGAAGAGTGTAGTCCGGTCAAGGTTTACCCACCTGAGGGCCTTCCTGGAAAATATTCTGTAGCCTTCTCCTGCTGCGATCCCAGATCTGTCCGACAGATGGCGCCATTCCCTCCCTCCCCACTCTTCAAAAGGCTTGATTGGAAAAGCTGTTGCTCAAAGCTGTATTGGACCGAACACCAGAGACCAAAGTAGCGTGAGGGCTGACTACTAGGGGAAGAACTCACTGAATCTAAACCCGGTGAGGACTGGAAAAACCAGTTTCTAGCAAGGTTTTTCGACTTCGGCATTATTGACATTTTGGGCTGGTTAATTCTTTGTTTGGGGGTGCAGGGGGTGTCCCTATATTCATTTAGCCATTACTTAGTCCCTACTGCGTGCCAAACTCTGGAAAGGGGCTGTTAAACGAGACAGTCAATCCCTAAAAAACGCTCAGGCATTTTTGTCTAGTGGGGGAGAAAGACAAAACAAACGATCCTACAAGGAGTTATTTAATAACAGTTATGATGAGTGCAGTGAAGGAAACGCTTAGGGAGCTATGACAGGAGGCTTGTGCTAGGCT